TGTGTGAAGGGGTCAAGTTCGTTTAAATGAAGAGTCACTCCCTCTTTAAAGGGGATATAATTAAGAAAAAGTAAAAATTGGGTAGGGTCATTCAAAAATCTTCTTCTCAAGAACCACTGGGCAAGAAAAGACGATAATTATGTGAAAGCTTCCTAACGTAGTGTAGATTCATATGTTCAAATCATGACCCCTGGGGTAGAGTGTGGCCACAATGGGCGATAAAAGTTTTACATAGGTATAAATAGGAAAAATCTTTAAATATCTTCTTCTCAAGAACAGGGAAGTCATGATTAATCACATTTATTTGGAATCATCCTCAGGTAGTGTAGATTCAAGATTGTTCAATTCATGTCCCCTGGGGGTAGGGTATGGCCACTTTGGGCCATCTAAGTTTTACATGGATATGTATATGAAAAATCTGTAAAAATCTTCTTCTCAAGAACAGGAAAGTCATGATTAATCATATTTATAGGAAGCATCCTCGGGTTGTGTAAATTCAAGATTGTTCAAATCATGACCCCTGAGTGTAAGGTGTGGCCACTTTGGGCAATCAAAGTTTTACATGGGTATATATGGGGAAAATCTTCAAAAATCTGCTTCTCAAGAGTATGAAAGACATGGTTAATTATATTTATATGGAAGCATTCTCAGGTTGTGTAGATTCATATTTGTTCAAATCATGACCCCTGGAGATAGGGTGTGGACACTTTGGGCAATCAATGTTTCACATGTAAAGAAATCGGAAAAATCTTTTAAAAATCTTCTTCTCAAAAATAGGAAAGCTATGATTAATATCATTCTATACGGAAGCATCCTCAGGTTGTGTAGATTCAAGTATGTTTGAATCATGGAACCGTGGGGGTAGGAAGGGGCTACAATGGGCATCAAACAGCAAAACCATGATCAGTTGTGTTATTATGTAAGCATTCAAAGGTAGTGTATGTTCAGATTTGATCAAATCATGACCCCCAGGGGAAGGGTGGGGCTACAATTGGCAATCAAAGTTTTACATAGAAATACATTGGAAAAAATCTGTAAAAATCTTTTTCTCTAGAGCAGCAAAGCCATGTTCAGTCATATTTATATGGAAGCATCCAAAAGTAGTGTATTTCAAGTTTGATCAAATTATGACATGGGAAGGGTGTGGCTGCAATGGGCAATCAAAGTTTTACATAGGAATACATAGAAAAAATATTTTAAAAATCCATTTCCATGAACAGCAAAGTCATGATAAGTCATATTTATTTTTTAAAAAAAAGCATCCTCAGATAGTATAGATTCAAATTTGTTCAAATCATGACCTCCGGGGATGGGGTGGGTCTACAATGGGTGATCAACTTTTACATGGGAATTCATAGAGAAAAGAATAAACATTTTTACAAGAAGGGCCACAGTTACTCAGGTGAGCGTTGTGGCCCATGGGTCTCTTGTTTTGTTCATTAAAGAGGTTAATTTTATTTTATACTTATATATACAGGTTATAGCAATTGTTCACGTTTTGTTAAGGTTGTTAATGAACCATTGGTTAAATCACAGGTGCTTGCTCCTGGCGTGTAAAAAATATTTATTAAAAAAAACATACGATATACTTGTTGTTTTAGTATATCGTATATGTGGTTTTTTTATGAATATTTTTTAACACGCCAAGAGCAAGCCCCTGGCTGTGGTTAAATATACGTTGTAGACATAAAGGAAAAGGGGCCGACATCTCTGACCCCCGCCCGCTTCAGTACACATGTATAAATAGGAGAAAAAGAAGGGAATGTATCATCTAGACAATCTAGACATAATCTAATAACTTAGTTACCACTAGAATGCTCATAAATCTTGAGAAAGGTATATTATATCCCGGGTTGCCTTGTGGTGCATGTACATGTAATTAGGCCCCAACCATCTGATTGTTTGTTTTCGCTCCCGATTGAACTTGGTTAATCCGATACATGTGTTTTTTGTAACTTTTTTTAACGTAGTCATTGTAAAGGTCTTTGTTACACTTAATGGATATCAGTGAAAATTTGTTAATCTACAATCAAAATACGTATAGAGATTTTCCCACTATTATAACACTTGGAGGAATTTGATGCATTAAATAGTAGTAGCATACAGTGATGGCCTACCTTTTAAACTGGTCAGTGACCAGAATTTTCACTGAGAAGACGACATAACTAGAACATGTCATGCAGTAAAATCCATTCTTTAGAGCTTCATTTGTTTTCATCCCATTTGTTTTCAAGTGTTGTTTTTCAGCCTAAACACCGGATGTTGATTCGTTAATGCCCATCGACATGTACTGATACTGGAGGGGATATTCTGCCACCTCACTCGTGCATGTAGTACAGCTTTCATTCTTGCAGGCGTGGATCCAGGATTTCCAAAATACGCGTGTGTGTTTTGTTGGGGGGGGGGGGGATTAAAATTTGTTTTTACAAGCAGATAAGGATGCTCTCTCTCTCTCTCCATTTATGGATAGGTTACCTTATAGCTAATAAGAAGATAGTAGCTGACATATTTGTGTCGTAACACCGTAAAAGTCTTAAAAATAACTTTTAAAGTGTTTTTCTGGGAAAGGGAGAGGGAGTTTACAAAAAATGGATACATAATGAGATATAGGAAATAAACATACATGCACGTAAATAGCAAACATTGCATAGACGCTGAAAACGATATACGAGGGTTTCCCATAAAAACGCGAACTTTTTCATCTTTTAGCACATTTTGTTGGGAAATGATATTTTCGCTATTTTGACATAGAATTATGAGGTTGTAATGTCATATGCATTGCATATGAAAATGACATGAGAATTTTAAATATCGGTGGTCGGCGCACCGTAATTTCTTCACTTAAAAAATAGCATTGCCAGCGATGTTTTCATTGATTTAAGATTATAAGAAAATATAACGTCACCAAATTTATATCGATGGAAACTGTGATCTGGAGTATACTAATGTTTTGAACATTCATTAATTTGACACTTGGACTTGTAACTATGGCAGCGGCAATAAATAGAATAATGATCCTTGGTTTAGTCTTGGTTTAGTCTCTTTTTGTGGTAAGATTTATTGCAATCAGATTAAGATGTAGAAGGAGAAGCCTTTTTTTCTATAAGCAATGGATTTAAAATTGTTAATGATCATTAAAGAATAATTATTGTAAATCTTGTTTAAAACATTTTTTATGTCTAAAAGGTCATATATCTAAAGAAAATAGGCTTGAAAAATTCCAACTACATTTGCATTACAAAATATTGTTTTACATACATTGTACATTTAGCATATAATACAGTTAGTTTTCAGACGGTGATAATAAAATATAGTTACCATCTTGATATAGTTTTTCTCTTATGATTAATTTGTTTTGTGGCTGGGTAGTTCAGTTGGTAGAGCACCATTCCTGATTCGGGAGGGGGCGGAGTTCGAATCCTGGTCTGCATTTTTCTCCTTTCCTGTTACATTTGGTATCGTTAACACTGATGTCATGGAAATGCATATGACCTGCCAGGACAGATCCAGGACAGATCCTGATTGGTGTTCGGGACGAAAGGATCCTTTAAGAAGGGAGGAAAGTACGTGATTGTCAGACAGATTCGATCACCTCTGGCCAGATAACTCAGTTGGTAGGAAACCCGATTAGTCATTCAGGGGGCACGAATTCGAATCCTAGTCTGGTTAGTCGCACTTTTCTCCTTTCCTGTAACAGTTTAACAAAGGAGACAAATGAGGTAACTTGGGTATTTTTTTAAGAAATATATTTCAATAACATGTTTTTAAAGGTGAAGATAATAATTCAATATGGGGTATACATGTTCTAGATATTGTAGGGAAAAAAGGCATGTGAAGTCTTAAATGTAACAGATGTAAATCTAACATTTAAAAAAAAAATTAAAAAATAAGGTGGTAAACCACTTATAGATATTAAAATATGCCCCAAAATGTCAAGTTTTATTATAATTTTGAATAAATGTACTACATTTTGTATGTTTTCCCTCCAATTCTATTTTTGTCAAGTGATGAATAAAAGCGTTTCATAGTGTATATTTCTTACCTATAATGATTCAAAGATAAAGTTAGTCTGCTTAAGTATTTTATTGAGAACTGCAGACTTTTGATTTCGGTAAAAATCGTTTGATGAAATAAGAAGGTATACGTTTTTATGAGATTGTGATCAGAAAAGTAAGGAGTCAAGACATGCATTCTATGGACTATAAGATGTTCTTTATTGCATTAGCTCAGAAATTGTCGAGTAGGGATCTACCTTAAATAAATTTAATTTTTAAGAAAAATGATGCTTGCCTTTTATCAAGTCTCGCTGAATATAACATAATAGTGGTATATTGGGAATTTTATTCAAAATCATTTTAATATGAGCAGTTGAAAGGGGGGGGGGGGTGTTGGACCTATGTCCGAAAACTCTTTGTGTGAAATTATTGAAACTTTGATATTATCTATTGTCACTTACTTGAAAATATTAGGTAATAGAAAATATATCTATTTTATGTGCTAATTTTCATGCCGTAGCACGAGCAAGGACAGACTGTTCTGGTGTAAAATGCTAAGAAGCTAATGATTTGTAGACAACCTCAATTAAACAAAAAATGCATTGATGATAAATTTCATTAAAAGTCAATATTTATTAAAATCAGAAGACTAACAGCTTTGAAACGTTTCTCTGAATGCCTGGATTCCCATTCTTTACTTAAATCTAGAAATATATTTCTTGATCAATTTTCAATTAGAAAATATATAGCTGTGCTTTTATTCGCGTTTCCTGAAAAATAAACATTTGAGATTTGATAATTTTGTATATAATATGTGAACTTTGAAGAAATACCATGGGTAAATACACATTTAGTAATTTAGGAATTCAGAGACATTTCAGCTCTTAACTCCTTATTTTCAGAACCTGAGGATCGGACTACCTTAAAAAAAACTTTTGAGGTACCACCAAGATCGACTGGTTTTGAGTACGATTTATCTAGACCCCGCGCGATGAACTGTCACAAACAAAAAAGATGTCTATTATTATGTTTATGATCATGTAGAGAAAATTAATTACTCTAAGTTTTGGGCTGATGTAGTCAAATTGCACGGAATCATGGACATGTACAAAACGCAGAGGTTGAAGGGATCTAGGGGTCGGCGGGATAAAACAGAAGTCAGTTGCTGTATGAAGTATTTGATGTTTGGATTTAACGTATTGTTTTGGGTAAGACAACTGGACAATAGATCTAACATTGTGTTGTGATGTTCGCTGTCTTGCTCATTTGTTCTGTGTGAGTAATCAATGGGTATATCTACATTAAATAGTATTGATATTTTACTCAAGAGTTGTACCACAGATCCCTGATAACCCCCCCCTTTTTTATATTGATATTGATTCATGTATGCAGATTTTAATTTTACGTCTGTCTTCCTTTTTTTGTACTCTTTAGGAGAGACTGGCATTGTAATACTAGCTTGCAGCCTATCAAGGCTCAGGTCCTTTCAAGTAATAAATTTATATAAATATCTTTAAAATTAATGAGATCAATGGACACCAATTGAATATTTCAGATTTGTTTGCATTTTAGATGTTTCTTGAGAAAAACTTCTTCATTTCATTTAAATTTTGTTCAAAGAATCTCTGTGCCAGATCAAGTCTTTCTGAAATTTTGATGCTGATTCTATATGCTGAAATGTTCCCTTTTTGTATTCATAAACAAATTTCACAGACACCTGAAGTGTGGCATATAACCCATAGTTGCCAACTCACCCGATTTCGTCGGGTTACACCTGATTTTTTGACCCTTAACCCGATTATTTTTTATGACACGGCGGGTCATGCTTTTCACCCGATTTTTGCCGAACAACCCGAAAATCTCCCGATTTCCGGATTTGATTTGGTTCCTAAATTAGGTTGCACTTTAAACTTCCAGTTATAACCCAAGCTTGGATTTACGTAAACAATGCCGATGGCTATGTTCAGTAGGCCGTGTGTACCAGTAAATTATCAGTGCAGGTTTAAACAATTACCAGAGAGTTATTTTGACAAATCAAAGTTTGAAGTCAATTTAAAATGGCTTCCGATAGAACGAGCTGGTTATCAGGACCAGCAGGAACAAATTGAACAGAAAAAGAGAAACGATATTTATGTACATATCAAGGAATCTTGGAAAACAACTTTCATTAGATAAAATAAAGTGTTCCAAGATAGTGTAGGCATAACTGTACATTGAATAGCACTTGTTCATTAAATTCATTCAGGAGAGGAAAAATAACTTCAAAACCAAAATTTGAATACAAATTTAGCACAAATTTCAAATCAGCAATGCAGATTTTGAAAAAACTTTCCTTTAACTGTAAAAAAAAATGCACACTTAATTCAGGTCAATACTGAATAATGAAACCTTCAATGCTCTTTTTTAACATGTAAATTTAATCAATATGTATTAAATTTTTCTCATTGCAAGTTAAAGTCTCTTTTTAATAAAATAATTCTCATACACAAATCCTTATATAATATATATATATATATATATATATATATATATATATATATATATATATATATATATATATATATAAAATTATATATAAAGTTTAATCATGGTAAATGTGTCGTGAATGTCGTTACGCGTTATGACCAGATTTTTTACTTTCCAAATCTGGTCATGACCAGATTTTTACATGTTGGAGGTTGGCAAGTATGATATAACCCATTCTCTGCCCCCACCTTAATTACCAAAATTTAAGAAGTCTATGTATCCTTAATAATTTGTGATTTTCCCTTCAATTCCATCTATGTGTCAATCTACGTAATCTATATGTACTTTGTTTAATGCTTAGAATTTGGCCATATGCAGTGAAATGAAAAGTTTAATTTTACTATTAAGTACATGACCATATTTTAAATGTTAAACAAAGTACAAACCAATACGTTCTATTTCCACAATGGAAGAGTTATACTTCTTAGTGCGCTCTTTTGTGAAAAGGTCGGAAAATGTACAAATCTCGCGGGATTTCTGAGACAAACGTAACATTAACATGTAAACAATATGTTGAATGTCGAGAACAATTCCTAAGAAAATGCAAATGAAATATTTCATTGTTGTGAACTTTAAATACATCAAGAGTAGGAATGACAACGATATCAATTTATATCTACTGTTGATCGTATGTATCTATTTATCGTATGGTACATCTAAATACAATACACATGCCTCGGAAATGTCATATTTTTTTGTTAATGGATGATAAATTTAGGGTTCTCGCTCTCTTACATATGTCTTTTAGTTCTTCTATTCTTTAATTGGAATGACAAATACATTTAACATTTAAAATTGGATTGAGATTGGCATGTTTTGTATTATCTGCAACGCCATGCTGTCCCAGTCAGACAACCAAACGCACCTTTAATTTTGAAGAGTTCATTAATGGAAATGGAACGTATTGCACAAAATGACAGACAGATGGAATTGACAGGGGAAATAAACATTTTCAAGAAAATATAGTCTCATTATATTTTGGTAATTAGGTGGGTTGGGTAAGTCTACATTTCAGGTGCCTATGACAAATTTAACACATAGATTTGAATGAGAAAAATTTATTAGTCATACTCTAATATGTTTTAAGCTTAGGCCTGTTAACCTGAGTTGCTTATAACATTATTATTAATGTTCCATACTTTATTGATCATGATAAATTGAGTGTAATAATTAAAACTTTCCATTTTCCATTTCGAAAGTAAAAGAACATGGTGAAAACCTGATATAGCATGTTTTATATACAATTCCTCATTCTTTTTTCTCAATTCAAAAAAGTTCCTGTATTAGCTATTAATTTGTAGCCAGTAGGTTTACAGGTAAGTTCAGGTGAACCATCTACGTGACATATGTAGACAGAGATCCTTTACCAGGTGAGACGTAAAGAATTGCCAAGGAGACGGCATAACAAATGATTTTACTGTCAATAGCAAGAGATAAAGTAGAATATATATTTATAGAACATACAGAATTTCAAGGCAAGTGTTATTGACATAAATCTATTTTATTACTGTCACAGTCAAAGTAATTATGTTCCAATCTATTAAGTGTTATACTGTATGGTTGTTAAAAAAGCTTGTAGCCTAAAATAAAATAATGAGGTACGAACCGTAAAGTAATGTCAAATTTTCTCAAAGTATATTTCAAATATCTACTATGATAAAGAATAAAAATACTAAAGAGAAAAGAGAGTGATACATGCCTTATTTCTTAGGAAAAAAAAAAGCCAGTTAAACAACCTTTTTGCACTTGGAAAAAAGTCTGAAATGTTGATTTAAACTATTACTGCTTTAATAAAATCTTATAAATGTGACAATATGGATAAATACTCAAGGAAAGTATTACTACTTTTGTTCGGAAAAAATATCCTTGAAGTCTAAAGTATGGTTACCTTTATGCACTTGAAATTAAGTAAAACATGAACAAAGTATGTTTCTAAAATTCAGCTCAGGATTAATGCCATTTAAACAATTTTTATGCCCCTGTAATCGAAGATTTGGGGGCATATAGTTTTTGCCCTGTCTGTCCGTCCGTCTTGCTGTCTGTTTGTCCGCAAAAACTTTAACCTTGCTCATAACTTTTGACTGGTTGGAGCTATGACATGTGTATTCCTTGTGACAAGACCTTTCATTGGGTACCATCACATTTGACCTTTTGGCCTTGACCTTGGAGTTTGACCCACTTTTGCAAAATTTTATGAGACTTTAACCTTGGCCATAACTTTTAAACAGTTGGTGCTTGGGCTTTCATACTTAAATGTGTGGTCCTTGTGAGAAGATTTTTCTTTGGATACCAACACCTTTGACCCTTTGACCTTGGAGTTTGACCTACTTTTGAAAAAAGCTTTAACCTTGGCCATAAATTTTGACCAGTTGGTGCTATGGCTTTCATACTTCACATGTGTATTCCTTGTGACAAGACCTTCCTTTGGATATCAACAACTTTGATCTTTTGACCTTTACCTTGGAGATTCACCTACTTTAATTTTGAAAAATTTTAACCTTTCCCATAACTTTCGATTGATTGGAGCTATGACTTCATATTTCACATGTATATTCCTTGTGACAAGACCTTTCTTAACTACCAACATCATATTTGACCTTTTGACCTTGACCTTGGAGTTTGACCTACTTTTGCAAAATTTTATGAGACTTTAACCTTAGCCATAACTTTTGAACAATTAGTGCTTGGTTTCAAACTTAACATGTGTATTTATTGTGATAAGACCTTTCTTTGGATACCAACAACTTTGACCTTTTAACCTTGACCTTGGAGTTTGACATACTTTTAAAAAAACTTTAACCTTGGTCATAACTTTTGAACAGTTAGAGCTAGGGCTTTCATACTTCATATGTGTATGCCTTTTGAAAAAAAACCTTCCCTTGGATATCAACAACTTTAACCTTTTGACCTTGACCTTGGAGTTTTACCTACTTTAATTTTGAAAAACTTCAACCTTGGCCATAACTTTTTAACAGTTAGTGCTAGGGTTTTCATACTTCACATGTGTATTCCTTGTGAAAAGACCTTCCTTGGATACCAACATCTTTGACCCTTTGACTTTGACCCTTGAGTTTGACCTACTTTTGAAAAACTTTAACCTTGACCATAACTTTTAAACAGTTGGTGCTAGGGCTTTCATACTTTACAGGTGCATTCCTTGTGACAAGATCTTCCTTTGGATACCAACAACTTTGACCTTTTTGACCTTGACCTTGGAGTTAGACCTGCTTTGAAAAATTTTGAACCTTGGCCATAACATTTGAACGTTTGGTTCTAGGGCTTTCACATTTCATGAACATGTATATCACTTGTGACAAGACCTTCCCTTGGGCACCATTTACCTTGACTTTGATGTTTTACTTACTTTAAAAAAAACTTTTACATTCGCCATAACTTTTCAACAGTTGGTGCTAGGGCTTTCATATTTCACTAGTATATTCCTTGAGACAAGACCTTTCTTTGGGTACCAACATTTTTGATCTCTTGACCTGGAGTTTGACTTGCATTTGAGAAACTTTAACCTTCGCCATAAGCTGCCATATGGGGGCATCAGTGTTTCACAAACACATTTTGTTGCTTTTTAAAATATGAGTGCTATATTTTCTATTTTGTATATCTAGAACAAAAACATAGGGTCACATTTCATTTTTTTAAAGCTAGTGAGGTTGTATATAAATTTTACTGGAAAAAGGTGAATTTATATTTGAAGAGTTTTTAGCTCGCCTTTAATAGCAGTAAGCTCAAGTGAGCTTTTCTGATCATATTTTGTGCAGCATCCATCTGTCTGTCTGCCACAATGGGTGGTCAAAGTTGTACCTTGGAATATATCATATAAGAAAAGTCTTCAAAAATCTTCTTCTTAAGAACAGCTGAGCCATGATGAGTTATATTTATATGGAAGCATCCTCAGTAAGTGTAGGTTCAAATTTGTTCAATTCATGACTACTGGGGGTAGGGTGGGGCCACAATATGTGATCTAAGTTTTACATAGGAATATGAAGGGGGAAAAAATCTGCTGATAAAGAACAGCAGTGACCCAGGTGAGCGATGTGGCCCATTGGCCTCTTGAAAATGTAAGCTTCATTTTGTGCATTTAAGAAAACATTGAATGGTTTTATTTTTATGTCTCTATACTGTTTGTCCTATGTCTGAAAATATAATTTTGCATAACCATTTCTTAATGTGTTTAAAAGCCTCTACAAAATTAAAATAAGCGAGAAAAAGTAGTTTCCAAGAAAACTTTAAAAACCATTTGACCTTTTATCTTTTAATAATGTTATATTATTTGTAAATATGTGATATTTTATGAATATGATTTTGAAGATAAACATGAAACAAATATTTTGAAAGATATTCATCCCAACAATTTGAAAATTGCTTAGGAGTATATTTCCTTGAAGACTGTATGATTATTTTCTGCTAAATGTGCAGAAGGTTGTATTTTTTGCTTAATTATAAAACTAAGTAGTTATTTAGGATTAATATTTCCCTGCTCTAATAGTGATGACAGAAACTAAATGCACAATTAACAAAGTAACTGTTATATAAAAATAGTTTAAACCATATTTATTGAAAATTAATAGCATTGTTTACAAACATAAGTCTTTGCTTTGTTTGTTGTTTACTTATATTGCTGTAATTTTCTTTATTTTGTTTATATTTCTGTACTGTAGCTGGTTGGAGCAGGGATATGTGCAATAGGACTATGGGCGTGGACAGAGAAGGATATGTTCTCCAATATTGGACAGATCACCAGCGTGACCCTTGACCCCGCTCTGTTCTTTATTATCACTGGTGGAGTCATGTTCATCATTGGATTCTGTGGCTGTATTGGGGCCCTCAGGGAAAACACCTGTCTGCTTATGTTTGTAAGTGTATCGTAAATCACATGTAATGTAACATCATCAAAACGTGTGTCAGTTTTTATTTCCCTGTGCATCTTTTTAACTTTTATAACAGATGCATGTTCATGTTTTCATTACTTTCATGTTCTCATTAAAAGTTTTGACAATTTTATTTCAAATAATTTGAAATAATGTTCAATTGAGTTATCCATCAAAAAACACACAAAATGATACATATACACACGGTTAATTATTTATGCACAAGTTTATGTAGTAGTAAACTAAAGGTAGAATATGGTATTATTCCAAAATCTTGTAGAGCAATGTTGCTTGCTTTGAAATCCTCCTGTTTGCACCACAAACTTTTTTTAAGCCTTTTAAAATTTAATGCTGTGTATTGATTTTACCAGTAAACACAACTGGCAATGATATTCAAATACTTATATTGTATTTCCATTTAATTGATTTGTCAGAGTTCTTGTTAATTTACAGTGTTCAGCTACTGACTGGGTCAAATTTGAACATAAATATAACATAGATACATATATTTATTTTTCCCAAATAGTTCTCCCAATGCACAGGGGCTGGTAACATACTATGTTTGATTTTAAGTCACTATATAAACAAACCTTTCTGTACATATGGTGATCACGAAAAATCAAGCAAAATAGGTTACTGACCCCTGTGTCCCAATGCTGAATTCTATAGTGTATGAGTTTATCAAAAACTCTTACAAAAAAATCCACAGGTTGTGACAATGATTATGAGTAATAAATGTACATCATTAAGTTCAAGACTTACATATCATGTACCCCAGTGGTGCACTTAATTATATGTTGAATATTATACCAGGTAGTTGCCTTTATTGGTGCTAGTTTTAGTATGAAGTCAGTAATAACTGTAATTATATTTTCAGTTTTCTGTAGCAGTGGGGCTGATTTTTGCCATGGAACTACTGATAGGTATTCTGGCTTTTGCATACAAAGATTGGGTAAGTGAATCTGCTTATAAAGAAAATAAACTAGAATCTTATATTTTGTATGATATATCATTTTAATTTTTCATTAATCATCTTTTATTAAAGTTTAATTAATCATCTTAATTTTTCATTGAAATCACAGTTTAAAATACAATTTTTTGACTTGTTTACCTAAGAATTATGCCCCGATACACCTCATTTGACCAACCTATAGTTATAAAGCCTCAATAAAGGAATTTATTTCTCAAATTTGAGAAATCTGTAAGCTCCTTTCATTCACTATCTTGACTTTGATATAATTGTATCTTTGACCATAAGGGTATTCTTCTAACATGTCTAAAAACATTCAATGGTAAATTTTTTGATGTGCAAACAAAAGGGACAACATAAAGGGTTTGGAAAATTGTGATTTTTTGATGTGAAATATACTGATACATGAATATAAACTGTAGATGGCATTAAATAAAGGTACTGTATAAGCACAAATTTTCGTGAGGATGAAATTTCATTGATTTGTCATCTAAAACGGTTTTATGGGCATTAAATTTTGTTGTTTCAAAAGTAACCTTATTCAATATAAAGTCATATAAAATTTTTGTGTGGGATTTAATTTTGTTGCTAATTGTTAACAACGAAATAAATGAACTTAAATCCCCAACAAATATTTCTGCTTTAACAATAATTCTAGAAATGATTTTTTTTCTAACAAGTAAAAAAAATCAGCCTTGGTAAAGCAAGCTCACCAGCCATACTGATTAATGTCAGAGATTTTTTTTTTTTTAGAAATACATCTATAAATGTTTTTGTCTAATCTAATTAAGGCCCCGCTCTGCGGGCGCCCTATAGTGATCAATCTGTCCGTCCGAGATTTCTTGTCCAATTCCAAAGCATATCTTCTCTCTCCTTGGTCCAATCTGGCTCATACTTAACCCACAGAGTGTCTTTGGGTAAAGGGTGTGCATTGACCTTGAACCTTGTTTCTAGGTCTAAGGTTAAGGTCATAACAGAATTATATGAAAAACCCTTGTCCGGAGCATATCTTCTCTCCCCTTGGTCCAATGTGGCTCATACTTCACTCACAGAGTGCCACTGGTCAATGGATGTGCAGTGACCTTGAACGAAGTTTCTAGGTCAAGGAGGTCAAAAATATTTTCTCTCTCCTTGGCCCAATCTGGCTAATACTTCACCCACAGAGTGCCTTTGGGTAAAGGGTGCACAGTGACCTTGAACCATGTTTCTAGGTCTAAGGTTAAGGTCATAGCAGAGTTATATGAAAAATCCTTGTCCGGAGCATATCTTCTCTCCCTTTGGTCCAGTGTGGCTCATACTACACTCACAGAGTGCCACTGGTCAATGGATGTGCAGTGACCTCGAACGAAGTTTCTGGGTCAAGGTAAAAAATAGGTTACCTTACATTTTCATGTTTGTTGCTGAAAGCGGGGCCCTTTGAGATGGCCACCACACGGGTACGTTAAGGCAGTACACAGATCATATTTCGGCGAATTTAGACTTTTTTCGTAAAATGTAACACTAATAAATCGGAAAAGCCATAGATAAAACATTTACTATTATTATCCATTGTATAGACGTCACTGAGTCTGAGGCTAAAAGAAGCACTCCACTACGACGTCATCACGTGACGTCTATAAATAGAAAAATTACCTTAATGAAAAAGTGAAAAGTTTAACACTACTATGGGATAATTCATTTTTTTTTCGTGAAAATAATTATGTAAAAACATCACTGGATCATGAAAAGTGCTGCTAGAATCCTACTCTCCAAACACAGAAAAAATTATTCCAAGTTTCGTATGAAACCTTACCAAAATTTTTACATTTTATACATACGATCAAGGAATTGTCATCAATTTATGTTAACCACACGATTCTAGCAGCACTTTCCAAGTACTATAGAATACAAACTTTCGATACAAACAAAAATTATGTTTCACAGTATGCGGCGTTGTGTTGAACTTTTCCATCTTTGTTGTTATAGAGCGACAGAGGAAAGGCTGATCGGGATTTCAAAGCACTGTCTCTGTTCATTATAAGAAAACATGATAAGAATATATCAGCGTACCTGATTCTTAATCTTTAATTCCTTATGAATCACACATAACATTCAATGTATATGCTTTAAAACTCCCATTTCATATATTTGTTTACATGAATTCTCGTCACTTTCATTTTCACTCTATTTGATCAATAGTTATGAAGTCATGGGTTTGGTATTTAACCCCCGTGATAAATACTTAGCTATTTATACCACCCAAAAACGACAAGCTTTAGTTTATATTATGTTTTTGAATGATTCCATTCATTTCTTGGATCTGAAAGTAAACTTTAAATATAGATTTTAAGAAATCATTATTTCTAAAGATCACGTCATACAGCTTTCTATGACGTCATATTGTAAAGGCAAGTAGGATATCTCTGGGTGTAGCCTTAACATACCCGCGCATCTCAATGATATCTAGTTTTAAAAATTCTCAGGTTTATAGGTATAACAAGCTCACTAGCCATACATATTAATGTCAGGAAGTGGTTTTTAATTTTTGTTTGTTTGTTTTTTTTTTTTTGTTTTTTTTTTTTTTTTTGAGAACACTGGGACCTTAAACCTCTTTTCAAATATCTATTGCAGATTCACTTTGAAATTAGGTTTATGACCACTGTAGTGACTGTACTGTAATTTTATGACTGTGTTAACACATATAATTCTTTCTAATTTGTACAGTGTATGTGTCATGAAGATAGGAAAGTGAAGATGTATGATTCTTTTTACAGATAAAAAATCAGATAGAATCTCAGGTGAAGAATATGATAATCAACTACAGAGAAGATTTAGATTTACAGAACCTCATAGACTGGGTCCAGCAGGACTGGGTAAATATAGGATATCTCTCATAGAACATTTAGATTTACAGAACCTCATAGACTGGGTCCAGCAGGACTGGTTAAATATAGGATATCTCTCATAGAACATTTAGATTTACAGAACCTCATAGATTGGGTATAGCAGGACTGGGTAAATATAGGATATCTCATAGAACATTTAGATTTACAGAACCTCATAGATTGGGTATAGCAGGACTGTGGCTAAATATAGGATATCTCATAGAACATTTAGATTTACAGAACCTCATAGATTGAGTCCAGCAGGACTGGGTAAATATAAGATATCTCAGAATATTTAGATTTATAGAACCTCATAGACCGGGTCCAGCAGGACTGGGTAAATATAAGATATCTCATAGAATATTTAGATTTAGATTTACACAACCTAGACTGGGGACAACTGGACTGTGATAAATATAGGATATCTCATAGAACATTTAGATTTACAGAACCTCATAGACTGTGTATAGCAGGACTGGGTAAATATAGGATATCTCATAGAACATTTAGATTTAAAAATCTCATAGACTCGGTCCAACAGGACGAGGTAAATATAGGATTTCCATAGAACATTGAGATGTAGATTTACACAACCTCATAGACTAGGTTCAGCAGGACCGATTAAATATAGGATATATCATAGAACATTTAGATTTACAGAACCTCATAAACTGGGTCCAACAGGATGGGATAAATGTAGGATATCTCATAGAACATTTAGATTTACGGAACCTTATAGACTTGGTCCAGCAGGACTGGGTAAGTATAGGATATCTCATAGAACATTTAGATTTAGATTTACAAGACCTCATAGACTGGATACAAAAGGACTGTGGGTAAATATGGGATATCTCATAGAACATTTAGATTTACAGAACCTCATAGACTCGGTAAATATAGGATATCTCATAGAACATTTAGATTTACAGACCCTCATAGACTGGGTAAATATAGGATATCTCATAGAGCATTCATAACATTCACTATGAAACCAAATAAATGGATGGTTCAATTTTTCTAAGTTAATTTTTTTAGCAGACCAAAATATTATTTTTTTTATTTTTGCAATTCACATGAAGATATTGAACTTTTTTGTGTTATCCAAATCATATTTATTGTCCTGTATCTGAATATCTAAAAGTAGCCAATGCATAACATTTTCTTTCTTAGTTATGGTTATGGCTTGGGCATCGATTGCTCTCTTTGACCTTTCCATAATCACTTGTAAATGCATTACTTGAATTATCAGATTTATTCTCAAATTTTTCAGACTTTTGGTTGAAAATAAGTTTTAAAAAAAATAATAAATCTCTTAAATAAAAAAAAAATGTAAAAAGTGATACAATTGTATTATGCTAGAAAAATTATTCCTGTGAAGAAAAATTTCAGTGAGTGATGTGGATTTTCATTATTTACTGAACTTAAATACTATATGAGACCATATTCCTGATATCTTTCAGCTGAAATGTTGTGGGGTGAACAGCTACGCAGACTGGGAACTGAATCGTTATTTCAATTGTTCGTCCAAAGGCAGTATAGAGGCATGTGGTGTTCCGTTTTCATGTTGTAAACCAACCAACGTAAGTTATTATAATTGTCTAATGAATTGATATTTTTTGCAAGTTGAATTTGTCTGATCTAGATAATCTAGTAGATTTGCCTACATAGTAATGGTATTACATGTTTGTTGTGGATGTTGATTAAATGATGTATTAATTCTATGTTGTTGCCTTCTCAGGATGTAATAAAGAATCGACACTGTGGATTTGGGATGATCAGTGTAAGTATTACAGTTGAACTTCGGTATCTCGAACACAGATAACTCAAATATCATGGATATGTTGAAGTGGTTTGAAAGTCCCAAGCATTTTTTTTAAAAGTATTTTACACTCAATATCTCGAACCCTCGGATATATCAAAGTTTTTTTCGGTCCCACTGAGTTCAAGATAACGAGGTTAGACTGTACATATAATTGTAACAGTACCATTGAAGTCAAGTCTAAGAATACAGTTGTACCTTTACTATTGTACTAAAGATGATGGAAGTGATTGAACCTGAGCTAATCAAAGTCAAGATGTAGTACATATTTGTACATGTATGTACCTCTTCTCTCATAGTTAAGACTGAGGATAATTAAACCTGTACTGTTATTGTGAAGACCGAGGAGATAATTCTACCTGTAATATCCTAGTCAATACTTTAAGGAAAAAATTGTACCAGTGCTTATTTAAATTCTTAAACTATATTCATTCTAGTGTGGATCACATAGCTCAGTGGTCACAGGTGTCTGGACAGTAACCTTAAGGGTGCTGGTTCAAGCCCCACCATGAGCACTTGATATTGTGTGTTGTGTCCACCCAGCTGCAATTCCTACTGTTTTATACCTGGGGTTAAGCTACAATGGACTGGTGTCCAATCTTGGGGGAGTCAAAGACTCTCACTGGCTTACCACAGAAACCAGGTCATCTTCACTAGACGAGGGTTTCTTTTCCGCTATTCTCCTCACAAAAACCCTTGGTTTGTGAAGATGAATCCAGGTATAAGCATCAGCTGAGCTTCATTGCACAGAGAAGGGTTTACCATAACTTAATGTTTGTTCATGCATTTTTCTCTTTAACAATTTTTTTGAAATAATAGATTTAAGAGATTCTTTTGTTTATTAACCTTACAAGTGGTGTGTCCCTCTTGGAAAACCCACAGCTAGTTAGAACAGTCAGTACTTGAATCAGTCAGCCATGGAAAACTGGCTTGATATTACTATTCCAGTAGATATGTTTATCATATAAAACAAATACCGATATAATAAAGCATATCTGTGTTTTAGAATGCTGACAGGGAAACGAAGATTTACACAGAAGGTTGTATACCCTCAGGGGAGAAGTGGCTAGGAACCAACCTTATCCCCGTAGCAGCTGTCGCCGTGGGGATTGCTGTTGTACAGGTTAGACAACTCTGGTCAGATAAATGATCTTAGAAAGTTTCTGAGCAGAATTTACAGACTTGCAATTTTAGAGGACTTGAGAGTCAATATGAGCATTGTTATCAATAATCTTTTTTGACCTTGCAGATTTTAGGTATCTGTTTTGCATCCATTTTGAGATGTGATGTAAATGCCCAGAAGGCAAAGTGGGGATATGAAGACTGAAATTCAGCAGCTACAAACCTCTCTTCTGTCCTGTGTTATAAATCTGACTCTCTTATTTCTGTATAACTCCTTAATCTTTAAGCCATTTCAGTAATATGTCCTATTTAGATGCATGTACATGTATATAGGGATTTGCAGAAGTTTCCTGTGTGATTCATTCCATGTTTAACAGATCTTTTATTTTGTTGATATACACGTGTTTGTCTAAATAGGGAAAAAACATGTATAGAATATTATGTTTCAATAGCTGAAGCTTTCTCATAGTCCAATGTACATTAACCAAGCAATTTTGTATGATTATATACATATTTTCTATTGTTTACAAAACTACACAAATAGTTCAATGACATTTTAAAATATATACTTTTCTGCATTTTGTTCTGATTATTGACTTTTATTTCCACAATTTGATGCTTAAATTGTCTCAAAATTCCCACTTAAAGGTCTATTTTTGGCATATTATTTCATGCATATTCTTCGTAAATTGGTTGATACATGCATATCAAGTTTTCTTCTCTCTTATTTTCTTTTGATACTATTTTATACATTTACATAAATGCTTAATTGTTTACAAAATTTGTTGGTATTGGTACAGCTGTACTTACATGTGATTGGAAACTGATCACTCCCAGAGTTTGCTTTTGGAGTTCTAGTCAGTGCTTTGTTCCCTGTGTGTGTTTACATCTGTAATTTACAGCTGTTTTGTCTAGTGATTTTTCTGAGTTGGTTTATGTGATTTTAGCCTTTTCAGATGGTTGTGTATTCCCTTTTACATTCTTCTTACCTTAAAAAGACATATTTTGCTTTATTTACAACTTGGTTATTATTTTACATATACATATATAATTATATATATTGATAATTAGTTGTGAATTATATAATCATTAATTTTGTCACACAAGTTTTAAACATCAAAGAATGCCTATAACAGAAAGCTCTATATTCTTTGATAGAAGAACAAATTCCAATATCTACTGTGAAACTGTGCTTAATGCGTGTATAAGTATGGAAAGGGCTAATGTAGGGAAAACCTGTTTCTCAGTCCATTTTTGTTTTATTTCATAATTCATGCTTGTTCAAATCAATGCTTGTAAATGTAATTTGTTTTCTTTTTAATGCTTTATTTTTGAAGCCTTTTTTCATATCTATATGTACAAACAAATACGAAACAATTTACACCCACTCATCACTAACACACACACACACACAGTGCACTTTCTTTATAATAAAGAAGTGTACATAATTAGATATGGCAGTTAATCATGTAATTTATTTTAAAAAAAAAAAAAAAAGTCAAATTTGTACTTAGGCCATTCCAAGTTTTTTCTATGTTTAGCGCCCGCGTGCGCCTTGGTTTTTGACACTCCATACCAGAAAAAACAAACAGAATCAGGAGTCCTGAAATCAGTTATTCTGGTCAATTTTTTTTAATTCTGTCAATTTTTTATAAATATTTGTCTTCAATATGTCATATTAGGAATATTTTAAGCATTTAATACCTCAGTTTTGCTGAAGAATAGATCTTTCAACGAGGAAAATAGATTTATCAAATCTTTTGAACAACGTCATTTTTACGACTATAAAGTCTTTGTTTTATTTTTTGGTTTGTGTGTTTTTTGCGATTAGGTAGGTAGGTTTTTGAAAGATGGGTGGAGGCTAAACAGAGAAAAAACTTTGAATGGCCTTATTTGTAGTGCATGTCTGTGGAATCATTGGAATTCATGGGAGCAAACTTTCATAAGTTCTTCTGAAAGAACATCTTTTTATGTAAGATAAATCATGTACCTGTATTGTATATCAATATCCTCAAGGGTCATGTAAAATTAGTAAATTATGCTAAAATCCAGGAAAATTAAACCCCATGAAATTTAATGGTTTCACATTGTTATTTTTGGAGGGTTAAGGTTTAGAATGGTTGTATTAATTTTTGGGGACATTAGAACTGTGTTTAGTCAGGTTGTAATCCGTCCTCCAGGTCATAAGTTTTAAGATTGGTCATGCATTTTTATGCATCATTTTCATTAGGTGCATGTCATTAATAGTGTATTCCTAATAATTCATATGTTGTGTAAAGCCCCCGCCCCACCCCTCCCCTTTGTTTATGATAAGAAATACTTGGTTGAATTTTGCAACAAACTAGTTGACTATGCTTGATATTTAGAAGATCAGAAAACTTCAGTAATTTACCCTCCCAAACAGTAATGTGTTATTAATGAACATTGCAGCATACAAATAAAGAAGTGTATCATGTTTGTGGTTTAAAATGCTAGAAGCAAAAAGCTAAAACAGGTACAGTTGATTAGTATGATTACATTTAATTATATTTTAAGAAATTTTATTGTTGTTAACAATTTTTTGTAGAATGTTTCAGATATCTTTTTATGTACTTGTATATGTATGTAACTCTTGCGAAAAATAATTCTATTCTAAATAAAATAAATTGGCAAAAAATTACCAGAGTTTTGTAAAAAATCACAGAGAAATAAATAGTCTATTTTATTTTGTATAGGTGTGTTATAGTTTTATTTGGTTATAAGTACCGGTAATGTAGTGGACTTTGATAAGTGGAACTCCTGTATGGAATCCACTACAGATTTTTGGGTACCCTACCATTGTTGTAGTGGTATGAACATTTTATTTGAAAGAAGTGTACTTTCCAGTGTTGGTTGTTTTGTGTAGCCCAACGACATGTACAAATTACAATGCCAGCAATTCAATGTAGTTTTATTCAGTGCAGAGGGAAAAAAAGGCAAATTTATGACAAATAATTAGAGATTGGGGGGGGATACAGCAACTTGGCCTATCCTCAAAATTTTGCCAAAACAATGTTCTGACATATGAAATTTAATCAGGTACATAGCATTATTTGGATTGGAGGGGGGGGGGGGTCCGAACTTCCCTGGAATTTGCGGAGTTATTAATTGTACATGATAAAAGAACTAAAAAATGACCTCGGACACCACCTAGGAAACGTGGACCCCTCTTTAGTTGGTAGAGAGTCATACTTACGAAGTTTAAGAAGTGAAGGAAAGCCTACCCCCCTTTCCGACGAAATAGGTTTTTCACGTTTGGGAAAGGGTTTTTTCTTTGTCAACAAACTTCTGGGTTGTATTTTTTGGAGTTGGGATGCCCCCCCCCCCTCCCCCTGTAAAAAAATTCCTGGATCTACATCTGGGTAATTGTCTAAACTCAAAAAAAATCCACACATTTCGGGGGCGGGGGCATTTAAAACCATAGTGTAACAAAAAAAGGGGAGCGGTTTTTCAATGACAATGTCCATATAGCAATTTAACAGCAAAAGTCTATACTTGGAAAAAAGGGGACAGCCCCTCCGATACTACATGTACGTGCCTACAAATAACAGACAGGATATTGTTCCTCAAATTAGCAGTAATTGCAACAATATAAACATTGGCCTCCCAGCACGGGAGACTATCAAAGTTATCTGAAGAATAAAGCGCCCTATGGTTTTTATGGTGGTATGGGATAGTGGATACCAAACGAAATATACCAGGTATATATATATATCCCCGAAATTCATAATTATAAAGTTTCACTTTGGAAAAACTTCGCAAAGACTTTGTTATAGTTTGAACAGTCTAGTCTTTCGTTTTTCATTGTTATGAATAATCAAAAGAAAATGGGGTCTTATGCAAATGTGTAGGTTTTATAGCAAAAGTTTGGCGTTTATTCGCGAAAGTTACGCGTTATAACGCGATTTTTTTTTTTACCTACGAAAATGGTTGTCCGCATGGTGCAGTGGTTGTCTGCTCTAGAATCGCGGAGTAAGGAACTGGGGCCCGTTTTACAAAATAACTTACGAGTAAGACCAAAATTTAATTGTGCTTATTTCTTTCTAATTTACATTGATTTTGAAAATGGTTTTAAAAAGAATTTAACAATTAAGATATTTTAATGCTAGGAATTTCAAACAGCATGATTAATCTTGCAAAATTTTACAATCAACTATAAAGTTTTTGATCTTAGTTCTAAGTTCTTTTGTAAAACGGGACCTTAATCCTTAATTACGTCGCGGGTTCGAATCCACTGTAGGACGTGGAGACCGGTCCAGTGGATGAGACCGTATTTAAACCGAGGTCTGATGTCGCAGAGGTCCCGTGTCGCAGTAGGCATGGTAGGTGTTGGCACGAAAAAGAATAGATCCCTCACGGAGTCACGCTCAATGGCCCTAAGTGCCGAATGTAGGTATACATTTGCAGCCCGGCCTCCACCGGCAAGCGGTGGCCTCTCGGCCATCTGAGTGAAAAATCATCGAGAGGGACGTACATTAAACGACAAACAAACAAATAAACAAACAGACTTACAAAATGAGCTCAATGGACTTTCGTATTTAAGAAATTAAAGAATATAAATTTAAAAAATAAATTTAATCAACAATTATCCTGTCATTTTTCTCATTTTATTTCCAACTAGATTTGCTTGAAATTGCAATAATTTTCTGCATAATATCATTACTTATATGTTACTATAGCATTTCACATGGAAATATAATAAAAGCGTGCTCAGAAACTTTTATCTTGAAATTATTGAAACTACGAATTTCGGGACGCGTTTGATTGACACATCCTTGCACTTTCACAAAGTAAACTTTATCCTTAATACTTGAGAGAAGTAGAAATTTTGTTTTGTATTAATGAAAAATATTAAAACTATAATCCAGAAAATTCAGAGTAGAAACGTGTGAAAGCAAAACCTACTCGCCAGTATAGTCAGTCCGTGGTCAGTGATGTGTGCAGAGTTTAACAAATGAAACGTAAACATTAACAAAAACCAATAGTCCCCTCCGGTTTCACCGGTAGGGGACTAACAAGCATTCTTAGAGTATTGCATTAGCAATACTAGTCCCCTACCGGCAAGTGTAATCTGGTTCCCGTTAAGAATTTCCGTAAAAAATCAATGAAGCAGAACGAAATGCAAAACTTGATCTATATATATGGCACGCCAATTTCACAAAAATTAGCGAAACTTAGTTTCACAGTTGATAAACTAGGTTTATCGACTGTAAACTATAGTTTACAAACCGTGAACTATATAGTTAACGATTCGTTAACTATAGTTTTCATCTGTAAAACTATATTTAACGGTTGTTAACTATAGTTTACGAATGCTAATCTAAGTTTATCTGTCTGTAATTAAACGTTAACAATAGATTTTGTTGATAAACATAGATTCACATCTGTAAACTATAATTTACAATCGTGAACTATGGTTAAGAGTTGTTAATCATAGTTTCACAAATCGTGAAACTATATTTATCAGATAAACTATGTTTTACATTCGTTAACCATAGATTTCTGTTGTAAACTATAGTTAACTGTCATTTATACTCACAAACTATATTTAACAGACGTAAACTATACTTATCGATCGTAAACTATAGTTTTGAGAGCTAAACTATGATTCACATTTGCCAATCATAGTTTATCGTAATAAACTATAATTCACACTCGTAAACTATAGTTAAGAGTTGTTAAATATAGTTTATGAATCTAAACACCTGTTAACTGTTAACGATAGTTTTCAGTTCGAAATTTCGCGGCACCAATCGCGAGAAGCAATAATGGGGTATATATGTCTCTGGTTTTATCAGTGCGGAGAATATTAAGGACACGTGTTGGGCATTATCTAAAGCAAAGACCGAGTTATATATAATCAATATTACTTTCTCTATTTAAAAAGGATTAATTGTATTTGTTTTAAAATGTCGTGTATATATACATTTCCTATGGGGAAATTTTTAGAAATATGATAATTTTTTTTAAATTTTTTAAAAGACAGAATACTACGAGATTTTTGCTCAAGCAGAGGAGGGTGAAGCGCGTTTTACAATGTGCCAAGCATTTTCCCGCCACATCTCATCACCAAAACAAAGAAACTGAAAGAGAGGAAATGCAGTGGCGGATATAGATAGGGTTGTGGGGGTTTCAACGTCCTCCTTTGAATTTAAGAGAGAGAGAATGAGAGAGAAGTCCCATATATTTGTTGTGTTTGTTCCGTGAAAGGCCACTTTTATTTATGTATGAAGAAAATTCGGTTGTTGAAAAATAAATTCCGCGCCTGCAATGTTACATGTACTGTGTTATGTCTTTATTTACAGATGAATATAAGATATACATGTATTTTATTAATGACAGATCACGCATTTCGGTCTCTATTTTTCTCTTTTAAATAAAAAAAATAAAATTTTAATCAATAATTTTCCAGTCATTTTTCTTTTTATTTCCAACTAGATTTGTATGGCACGCCGATTGCTTCAAAATTATTTTCTGCACAACGATTACGATTTTATACACGAGCTTGATGAAAAATACACGAGTAAAATAAAAATGCACGTATCGGTAAAAATTGCACATAGTTTGAAAGATTTTAACACAAACATAACGAAAAATACACGAATCCGAAATGTTTTACACAATTAATGGGTATAAAATGCACAAACGTAAAATCAAAAACTGCACGAGCAGAGGAAACTAAAAATTACACAAACAATTTTACTGCGCATACAGCTGCGCATATCATTAGTATGCACATAGAGTATTCATTGTGTT